TTCTTACCACAAATTGCCATAACAAGTTTGAAAGCCACTGCCCAGGCCCACCCCTGTGGGTGCTTCCAGGTATCTGGAGCAGGAAAGGAAAGCACAAGGTTGTGTCAATCTCCAAATACACACAAGGAGCCTGGGATCACACACACCAGAAAAGTCTAGACCATGAGGCTGACTCATATTCATTGGCCACCCCTGAAACAACTCTCTGGCTAGTGTAGCAGGAGGCGTGGCAGACTGAAAAGGGCTGGAAGAGCAGGTGAGAACCAGATGGCATACTCAATTGTAGATCATGGTAAGGAGTGTGATTTTATTCCTACAAAGGAAGCAGCCTGGAAACTTTTTTAGCAGAGGAATGGCATAACTTTTTAATGTTAATTTTGAGACAGAAGAGAAAGCGGAAGCACATGTCGAGTGAGCAGGGTAGGGCAGAGAAAGAGAGAGGATTCCCAAGCAGGCTCAGCCTGTTAGCCAAGAGCCCTCCTGTGCTGATGGGATTCACCCACACACAGAGAGATCACACCAAAACCAAGAATTGGACACTTAACCAACCAAGCCACCTGGGTTGCCCTACCTAATGGCATGTTCTGATTTTACATTTTATCTACATAAAATACAAAGAGAGAAAAGCAGGAGGCAAGATGGACATGGGTGCTTAAAAGAGGATGATGTGAATTTAATGCTAACGAAAGTAAGAGTGGAGGTAAAGAGTGTTCTGACACTTTGTATTATATGTTTGTTTTAATTTTTTTCTAATGAACAACTTTTTTTTTTTTTTTTAAGGAACGCCTTGACAGGATTGCCTAGGTGGTTGGTTGGTTAAGTGTCCAACTCTAGAGTTTGGCTCACTCAGGTCATGATCTCACAGAAGTTTGTGAGATAGCCCCATCAGCTCCACCTGACAGCACAGAGCCTGCCTGCTTGGGATTTCTCTGCCCCTCCCTGCTAACGGGTCTTCCTCAAAATACTAAACTTAAAAAAAAAAAAAAAAAAAAAGCAACTTTAGTAAGAATGCCTGTCAGAGTAATCCCCTAAATCTGGGGTCAGGCATGGCCTGGAGGGAAAATTCCTCCCTTCACCAGTGTCCCAGGTCTGGAGCGGGGCAAGAATGGCTTTGGCCAAACTTCTTCAGCCTCTTCCACCTTTTGTAAGGAAAAAAGGTGTCCCCACCTTCTCCTAGTCCCAAGTAAATTATTCTCAGCCCCCAAGCTTCCTTTTGTTTTGTTCTTGCCCCAGATGGTCTTATTATCTTCAAAACAAAACTAACTTAACTTAAGTTCATCTTACGCACAGCGTGCCTTCAACAAATTTTCTACCTCCAACAGGCTAACATCAATGTACAAGATTTTTTTCTCACCTCCTAAATCAACCCTGAGTAAGAGCTTACCCTGGCACCTTCTCGGCTAAAACCATCAAGCAATCTTGGTTACTTATTGGTAGAGCATGTGACTCTTGATCTCGAGGTCTTGTTTGAGCCCCATGTTGGCTGTAGAGTTTACTTACTTAAAAAAAAAAAAAAAAAAATATATATATATATATACATATACACTGTGTACATACATATGCATGTGTATATATATATGTATATATGTGTGTATATATATATATATATATATAAAGACATTTTAAAAAACAAAAGTTTCTTATCAACAGGCCAGCGATTCACCAGAGCCCCAATTCTTCTAACATATTTTCTCAACAGCAGCCAATAGGGGCACCCCGAACAGAGGATCCCGTAATTCCCTCTTTGCTTCCTCTTGGCGTAATTTTTATATCACCATCAATCTTAAAGCATGACCTTCCCAAAGGTAAGGACTATAGGAATCTCAATTTGTGGAGAGCCTAGATTTGGCCACATAGAAAGCAATATACAGCAGCTTATGGTGTTAAAAATTCAACTTTACATATACTTGCACATGTTTCATTCAAACCATGAACTAAGATAGCACCAGCTTCTAATTTTTGGAAAAGCACTGGCAGTGTGGTGACACCAAATCCACAGAGAGTTCTTAAATACAAAGCAAGGAGCAGCTGCCCACAGTCCCTTTGTTCCCTATGCTTTGTAGGCCCTACAGAAGTCTCACATTCCAAAAGGAGAGATATAAACAGCTAATACCACAAGGAAAAAGAGCAGGGGTCAGTTCAGGAAAAACCCGAGTGTGGTGGAGCATCCCAGTAAAGGGTTTTATCACCAGACAGAAGAACCTTGGTCCTGATCCTCAGTTCTTTCAATGCCAACCAAAACTCTTATGGTAGCCTTGTCAGCAGGATAGATTACAGGGAGGAAAGGAAGCAAACCACTACCTAGCAGAATAGCTAACATTTGCCAATTGCTTATTGATGCCGGGCACTTCATATGTATTAGCTCAATGAATCCCTTCTAACACACTGAAGGCCACAAATTTAACATGCTCAAAGTCACACACACATAGTAGGTGGCCCAGCTGAAGTTACAAAACTAGGCATTCAGTGCGGCTCCAGAGCCCTTACTCTCAAGGGCTCTGCTGACTCTGCACAGAAGATGAAGCCGACTTCAAGAAAAGGTAATGCTGAAGAGGGACTGAAAAAGGGCAGTACTGGAGGTATAAAGGGGAGAAAGTACAGATAAATCCTAGGTTCCTTCTCTGTGGGTACAACTGGATTCACAGGACATTCCCTAACAGAACACTTCATATGTATCAGCTTGACATCTACCAGGACAGGAAAAAGCAGCAGAAGCCCAGAAAAGAACAGAGAACTTCCTCTGACTGATAGAAATGAGTTAATTGCCAAGTGCACTACAGGGAGCAGTAAGTATCCCAGTCAGCGTTTTGCCTCAAACACCTTCTTAAACGCTGGCCCTGTTCAACAGCAACTCAAGAGATAGCAGGAGGCTTGGGAATCCATGGAAGTTATCTACAACTGAGATGGCACAACAAGATGATGCAGAAGTGGGGCGGGGGGCGGCCCTGCAGGATTCATCGAGACCCCCAATTCAAGAAAACGAAACCCAGAGTTAGATGGCCAACTAAGAAAAGCCTGGCCCGAGGCCAAATCCGGAAGGGCAAGACAGGGTTGGAATCAGAACCCGGGTCCTTCCACCTCTGATGTGCTGTCCCCATCTGCCCTCTCCATTCTCCCGGCTGAGGAGCTGCACCCGCAACAACCAGCTGGGTACGGTATATTCAGCAGGCGCTCAATACGCGTTTACTTAAGCAATGAACGAGTGTTAAAGTACAAACCAAGTCTGTTTCCATTTATGTGGCAGCAGGCGGGCTGACCGACCGGCAAGCAACCCTAGTTGAGCCCTTCCGCTCAGCCCAACACAAGGTCCCCACGCTGCCTCGGCCCTGTTCTAGGAAGCACACGTTTTTACATCCTACATTTCCCTAGGCACCAGTGCTTCCCAGTCGGCCCGCCGACCGCGTATGCACGCTCAAGTCGGGACTCATTTAACACGGGTTTCAATTGCGGGGGGCTCCAAAAACCGGGTCCCCTCAGCCGACTTGCGGCCCCGAAGCAGCTTGGGACTTGTAGTCCCCAGTCGGCCACACCAGAACCTTCCCTCCAGCCCCACGAAGTCCTCGCCCAGGGCCCATGCTCCGTGCTCCGGCCGAAACAGGCCGCGGAGAGCCGGGGTCGCCCACAGACAAGGGGTGGGGGCAAAGACAGAGTTAGTAGGCAGCGGAGGGCTCTATGGAACTGACCCCGGCCGGGCGGTGCCACCCAGGGGCCAGATGGCAGCGGATGGCGACAGATAGGCGAAACGCCACTCACCATCATTTTGGAAGTTCGTTTAGTGGCCCGCTACACCTTCTCTCTTCTCCGCGTCGGGGCCGCCCAGCAACCCCACAATCCCCCGCGCCAGAGAAATCCCCAGAAGCTTCGCCGAGCCGTTGGCTCGGGAGAGGAAGGGGACGGGCCACTTCCGCTACTCTATGGTTTGCTACCACAGAGTCAGTACGGCTAGAAAGGCCAGAGGCTGGGCCTCTGAGAGAGAGGCGTTGGTTACCGAAGGGTCGCAGGATTGTGGTTATGCATTTCTCTTTGAGTATGTAGACTCCTTGCTCGGCTCGCATTACCCACTAAACCCTCATTCCTTCCCCCACCTCCGAAAGCCAGACCAAGGAACACAGTAAGCACATTTATTGAACGCTATGGGACAGGCTTATGGTAAACAAGGAAATAAGCACCTGGTGAGAGATCTCATAAGCCCTTCCAATCCTATGACGTTGGTACTGTTATGTCTATTTTGTAGATGAAGGAACTGAAGCTGAGAGGTTATGAAAGGTGTCCACGGTCACAGTTGTACACTAAATGGTAGAGAAGCAGACGTGGGCACCAGGCACCTGGCCCCAAATCCCGTTTTCTGGCTCTTCACTGACCAGAGCCTCCTCGAGGGTGGGGATCATCCAGCCGCGACCCTAGCGCGCAAGCGCTGGTGGAACTTGTCAGAGGACGAGCGGAGGGGAGGTCGCGGGAGACCACCTGGGCGCTAGACGAATGCCTTCCCAAGGAGGGAGGTGAGGAGGAGGAAAGCACAGCTGGGAGAAGCAAATCGTCATCTTGCGAGGCGGCCGCAGGGAGGATCCAGCCAAGACCGCAAAGCTGACGGCCACGACTTTCCTGGGCTGAAGTGAGTCCAGCGGGGCGCCCACCTCCAGTGCTCTTTCCTCCCCGCCCGCCAGCCAGCCCGCCAGCCCGCGCAATCCTGCAGTCGAATCCAAACTAAGAAACGCTGGGGCGCGGGTTGGGAGGGGTGGCAGTTGCTGTTAGGAATTTAGGCCAATCAGTCCTAGGCCCCACTTCTCTCGACCAATAGGAAGTGGGCTAAGGCGCAGAGGCGGAAAGTGTAGCTACAGGAACAGGCATCAGAGCCAATCAGCCGTCAGCCTCGTTCCTGTCCGCCAACCAGCGGCAAGAGCGGGTCTGGGGGCGGGAGGCCGGAGCAGCTGTCAGGCTGAAGTCCAGCGAGCTAGCACGGTGGGGCGGCTGGAAGAAGCGCGGCGCCGGGCCGGGCCCTGGAGATGGTCCCCGGCGCCGCGGGCTGGTGTTGTCTCGTGCTCTGGCTCCCCGCATACGTCGCGGCCCACGGTGAGCGGAACGGGCAGGGCTGCGGGGCGGGGCTGGCCGTCTAGCTTGCTCGCGTCTCGGGCCGGGAGTCACGGGTCACCTTGGGACCCCGCGAGTTCGAGGCAGGGCAGATCTAGGGACGGGCGACTGGAGTGGTGGGTGCTGGCCCCCAGGGACGTGAGCAGGGCGCGGCCTGAGGCTGGGCTCTGAGTCCTCAGCTCCCCACGTCGAAGCAAGACTCCTCTCCACGCCCCCAGTAGTGCCGGCCCAGATGGCTGAAGGGGCGACCAGGAGAAGGAACAAGGGACAGTTAGAGATATTCCAAGCTGGAGATAGTATGTGAGCCCTCACATACATATACAGGAACACACATTCTTACACGTGGGCCCCCACGTACAAGCACACACGTACACACACAACCTGTTTGCACCTAAAGGAGCACATAAGTATATACACCCATACACATATGTGAGCACATACATATACCACACTTGATTTACACAGATCAGCAGATGCAAAGGCCAGGCAAGATGTGTGTGGTAAGGAGGAGGGGTTTAGTGTTAAAGGCGGCTCATTGGAAATATATCTGTATCTCATGGGAAGTCCCCACTCTCAGGATGAAAGGCTGTAAAGCCCAATGCCAAGCCAATGGAACTCTATCTGGTCTCTGTGATTTGGGCAGTAGAGGACAGCTAAAGCCACAATCAGTCCTAACCCCCTGACACACAGTAGTGGCTTCATAGTTTGTTGACTATTTGACCAGCTTCCACACTTCCACATTCCTCTATCTCTCTGGGCTAAGGCAACCAAGGATTCAAGTCCAGGCAAAACATCAAACTTTAGTGCTGTAGAGAGGATCCCACACCCCAGAAAAATCTGGTTGTTCTGGAAATTCTCTCCCTCAGTGCGACTGAGCTGAAAATAGTTGTTCACTCCTTCAACAACCTTTATTGAGCACCCACATATCCTAGCCACTGTTACATAATGTGGATACAGCATTGAACTAAGCTACAAAACTGTGGGTTTTGCCTTAGTGGAAGAGACAGACATTAAACAATTCTGAATAGTGTATAATTACAAATTATGTTGAAAGTGTCAATGGAGAAAAAGTACATTTTGAATGGGCATAGGGAAAGGGCAGTGATAGGGCAGAGGGGTTTCTCTAGAAAGTGACATCTAAGCTATGACCTAACCAAAGAGCAGAAGTGAGCCAGGTGAAGAGGTAGAGCTGGGTTGGGGGCAAGGGTAGGAAGGCTCCAGATAGAGGGAACAGTTGCAAGAAGATGCAGAGGTGAAGAAATTGAAAGGAGGCCAGAAAGGAGTAGATAAGGTTGTAGTAGTAGCCAAGGGCAGATGGAACAGGACCCTGCAAAGGGTAGTTGTTGAAGGGTACTGAAGCCATAAGAGTGGTGACTTGATCATATTTGCTTTAAGATATTTCAAGAAGACCCCTGGCTGTTGTTTGGGGAATGGATGGTAGAGAGCAAGAATGGAGGCAGATAAACCAATTAAGAAGCTGGACCAGTCAGGACAAGAAATGATAGTGGCTGGACTAAGAGGATGGCAATGGAACCAGAGTCAACTTTTAAGTTTTAGTACAAATTGTTTTATACCTAGGCTACCACATCGCCACCTTGAAACTCTCAGGTCCACTTCAGAACAAAGAGGGATGGATCCTCGGAACACAAGAGCTCTCACTCTTCCTGGCTCATCAGTGCAGCAGCAGCAGCTGTTATCTCTGGGGTTACTAACACTATCTGCATCAGTTCTATCCTCCCCAGGACAGAGATCATCTATCTCACCCACCTGGAGGACTCACTTGGCTGAAGCTGGGTCCCTGAGCCCAGATTATAGCCAGCCCAGTTGTACGCAAGTGGTCCATGACCTGAACCTGAACCAGCTTGTTCCCTGGAAGTTTCTTACCTGTACTCTATCTTTCAGGCTTACGCATCCATGATTATTTGTACTTCCAAGTGCTGAGTCCTGGAGACATTCGATACATCTTCACGGCCACACCTGCCAAGGACTTTGGTGGTATCTTTGTAAGTTCAGGGAGACCCTTTGTCTCTGCTCCTGTCTCCACCCCACTAAGTCAAGGTGACCGTCTCATCCCTTCAACCAATACCTGACTGCTAGGACAGGGAAGGGTGCACAATCCAGGCCTGCCCTCCAGGGGCTGCTGTGCAGGAGGGAAGGGCTTCCAGCTAGCTATTCCCCGGGGTGTAATACAGACTTGGGCACCAGACAGAGAGAAGCTGTCTTCTCTGGGGACATGAAATCGTGAAAAACCAAGGGCTCTGCTAGCTGTCTCTGCACTATGTGGCTTACGGCAAATTACTTCCCCTTTCTGGATCCTACCAACTCCCCTACATATCTCATGAAAAGGCACCGTGGAGTAGGACAACTAGATAAGCCTTTGTGAGAATTTAGTAAAAATACTCCAGTGCCCAGCACACAGAAACCACTCTATGTTTCCTTCAACTTTGTGAGGAACCGGTAGAATGGGATGGTCAGCCTGGTCCTACAACAGGCATGTCTCCTCACGCTCTGACCTAAATGTCTTTCAGCACACAAGGTATGAGCAGATTCATCTTGTCCCTGCGGAACCTTCAGAGGCCTGTGGAGAACTCAGCAACGGTTTCTTCATCCAGGACCAGATCGCTCTGGTGGAGAGAGGGTAAGGAGCGGACAGACACAGGCACAAGAGGAGGGCAGGTGTAGGTTAGATTCTGAGATCAGTGTTGGGAGTGGTGCTTTGAAATAGCGGTTCTTAAATAATTCATGTTTTTAATGGTCTTTAAGAGATGTCTTAAGATTACCCATGCCTTTTGGCCATTTACGTATGAGCCTTTACAAAAAATTCTCCACGGTTCTTCTCTCATCCTTCCGGTGTGACAGTCTGGAGGAGGGGTAGCTAGGACCCTGCCTTTCCTTTGGTCTCATCACCACCTCTTCCAGGGGCTGCTCCTTCCTCTCCAAGACACGGGTGGTGCAGGAGCACGGCGGGCGGGCAGTGATCATCTCTGACAACGCGGTTGATAATGACAGCTTCTACGTGGAGATGATCCAGGACAGTACCCAGCGCACAGCTGACATCCCTGCCCTCTTCCTGCTCGGCCGAGATGGGTGAGGGCTCCTTGTCTCTGGCTGTATCAGCACCAGGCTGGGTGCCATGACTTGGGGAGGTCAAGGGCAATCACCAGTCCCTTCCCACAAGCCTCTGTTGGAGGGCCGAGTCCTTGGGCCAAAAATGTTGGAGGGCCCCAGTTGAAGGGCCAAGTCCTTGGGCTCTGGAACTCCCAGAGTGATGGGGACAATGGGGTATGATGGGGTGCTGAGAAAGTGACCATCGCCACCTTTCTTCATGCCCTCCCAGCTACATGATCCGCCGTTCCCTGGAACAGCATGGGCTGCCATGGGCCATCATTTCCATCCCAGTCAATGTCACCAGCATCCCCACCTTTGAGCTGCTGCAACCGCCCTGGACCTTCTGGTAGAAGAGTTGGTCCCACACACCAGCCATAAACAACTCTGGGCTGGGAAGGGGAAATCCAGGAATTCTGCTATTTGGGATTTGGGGATAGCATTTGAGGACAGGTGGAGCCGGGTAGGGGAAAAAGGCTTTGGCCTTGGCTATGCTAAGAAAAGCTGTGCCACTGGCTTTCCCTTCCTTGGGGTCCCCAAATGTCTCATGCTATGGGAATAGACAAGAGCCAGGCCCCAGAGCTTCTGGACTAGAATCTGGAACACGGGCTAAGGGCAGGTGGCCTGAGAGCCATCTGTGACCTGTCACATCCCACCTGGCTCTCGCCTCCCCTTCCCAGGGTCTCTTCAGTGTACTTCACAGCAGCTGCTGGAGTGGTGTTTGAGGAATTAATAAACCCTCACTGACTTTTTAGCAATAAAGCCTCTCATCAGGGTTGCAACTGTGTCCTAGAATAAGAGCATGCAGGGTGGGAGGGGCCTTCACTCTCTCATCTGGTCCCATGCCCCTGCTTTGAAGGGAGGAAACTGAGGCCCACAGAGGGTAAATGACTTGCTCAAGGTCCTTTAGAACCAGTGCTTAGGCTGCTAATCTTGGATCCCAGCACACTCTACCTCCTGCTCAAGAACTCAGGAAGCTGTAGTTCAGTTCCCTGAGAAGACTCCTCTGATAGCCTGGTCCTGGGGATCCACGCTGGACCTCAGAGGAGGTCCTTGCTCTTGGCATTTACACAGCATTGTAGATGTGACCAGGGAGGAGCCTGCTGGGGGGCTGCAGCTCCCATCTCCTGCTATTGCCTGGTCTAAAACTATGTGCCTCTGTGCCAACTATGTGATTGCTGCATGCCTCAGACAGCTTGTCAAGTCATTCTACACAAAGCATTCCTGCAGAGGCCTGTCACCACTCACACTTTATTGAGAACAGTGGGCAGGCGGGGGCATGAGGGGTGCTGGCTACTGTGAAGAACCCAATAGGCCAGACAGGTGAGCTCCACCTGGCTCATGATCTAGGATAGAGCCTATGGGGTGGGCACCTGCCCTCTCAGATATCCCTCAGCAGGGGGTTGTGGCAGCCCCCGCCCAGGGAAAGTAGGCAAAGAAATCGCAAGTGATAGGCTATAGTTCCCACAGCATCCAACCCAAGAGTGAGGGGTAGTACTAATCTGGGGGTGGAGGGGCAGGTGACACAGACAGGGCTTATCTCAGAATATCTAGCCTAGCTCCTCTAGGTTTCTGGAAGACTTCAGTGTTCTTCTGTGGAGACCCTAACGATGGAGATTGAGGCCGGGAGAGCTCCTCACTGACCCATGTTAAACTGATACCAGGGAAGCCTCTTGAGCATCTGAAATTAAGGAGCACAGGCCTGTCATCACTCAGTCTCAGCCATGCTGCTAGAGTCCTCAGTGGGAAAGGAGTGTGAAGAAGGGGTCATCTCCCCACATGCCCCTCTTGAGAGAGGCAGAGGCCTCTTACACACCCCCACGTGGCCAGCTACTGTGCCAGGGCCTGAGAGGCAAGGCACAAGGTACAGAGATTCTGGAATCTGGGGAAGGGGTTATACTCTCCACTCCCCTGGATGTCCAAATAGTGGGGGTGGGGAGAGGAAGGTATTCCCCTGGTTCAGTGTCCCCAGCACAGAGCCTTAGGGAAGGTGCTCTGGAGACCCAGTTGCTCCTTCCTGCCTCTCCTAGCTGTGCCAGCAGGAGGCAGTTGCCTTAGCAGCCACAAAGGTGGGAGTGGGGAAGAAGGTGAAGGCATCTCACCCCTCCCCTTTCTTCTTCAGTGCCGTCAGGCCGATCTCTTGTTACCCCCGTCTGTAGTAGGTAGAAAGCCGTGAAGCCTCAGGTGGACAGGGAAGCATGGCCATGGGGCCAAGTGGAAGAAACACTGTTTCTGACCTCTGTTGGAGTTGCTCGCCGACTGGAGTGGATACCTCAGTGTGTGTGTGTTTTGAGGGGGCAGCACTGAGAGGCTCAGTGACCACGCAGAGCCTGAGCCACTCAGCAGTAGTGTCCAGGGCATGAGGTCTAGTGGGGGGTGGCGTGCCTAAGGTCCAGCTTCTGTACTACTCTCTGGCAGAAACAGAGCTGGAATGGAGGGGGGGAAGCAGGCAACGGGAGTGGGGGAGTTCCTTCCAAGCCTCCTCTCTGGGGGAAGTCCCCCTTTTCCTGCAGGGTCTGGGGCAGGCCCCTTCCAGGCAGGGTGACATCACACATCGGTCATCTCATCCCCCAGCTCTGCATCCTCTGGCTCTCCTTCCTCCTCTTCATCCTCCTCCTCCTCCGAGGTCACGTTGGGTTCATCAGCCTCTGCCAGGCATTTGGGGCAGGAACAGACAAACAGATAGTTCTCCCTGCAGGAGATGGGGGGTGGGGGTGGTGGTGAGGGTGAAGTCAGGCAGTAACCAGGATGGAGCCTCCCAGAGCCCAGCCACCCACCACATCCCAGCTGGCACCTGAGGATCTTGTGGCGGCTGTGGCGGCTGCGCTCCCGCTGACAGCAGTCTAAGTAGCTGATACAGATTTCCTGGAGGGCAGAGAAGTGGTAGAGTCTGACAGTCTGTGCTGTCTCTTAGATGGGATCAGGGCCTCCCCAACCACTGTCCCATCTCCCAGGAGCTAGGCCCTCATTCATTTCCCTGTGCTCTCAGAAGGCCACCAAGAGGCTCAAACAACCTATGTCTGAGACAGAGAGGGGACAGTGGTTAGCCTCAGGCCACGACTATAGGCAGCCAATGGCTAAGGTCTGTGGCCATTGTCAGAGGTTATCTTGACATGGTGCTACTAGCTCTGGAAGAAGATTCAACCAGGCTCTGCGCACTGTGCTAACAGCCAGGACTCCAAACCCCAAACCCACACGTGCACCCATAGCCCATGCTACGAAGAGCCATCTCTTGTTTTCTTGGAAGCTGTGGATTTGTTGATCAAAAGGTGGCTGGGGACAAGAACCTGGGCATGCACTTGTCTCTGAATCACTGCTCTGAGGTTTTCTGGTTATTTTTTTTGAAGAATTGGGGGTACTGTGGGTTTGAGCATAACCATGGGTAAAAAGACTCCTGCCCTGGGTCATGTGGGGATCAGCTGAACAGCCTGAACTTGGGGCTCTAGCCACTGTTGCTTCCAATCCCTGGAGAGAACTTGCAGGGCCCACCCCCCACAGCTCCTAGCCCTCTCACCTCTCCTGGCTTGATATCCTCCAAGGCCGTGACATGCAAAAGGAAGTTGTTTTCTGGGAAGGAGGTCTCTGCATTGGGGACACAGCTGTGGTTACCTGGGTCACAAGAGGCAAGAAATAAGGACTGCTAATAAAAATAACAGCCTCAACTTGCAAAGAACTGGGTCCCATCCTTCCTTGTTTTCTGATCCCTGCTAGGGCTACAGAGGTCCTGGAACCCAAATTTCCTGACTCCCTCCATCCAGTGCTCTTTCCTAAAGACCACAGAGCACAGGCACAAATGCACTTCCTCTTGCCACCCCCTCCCACCTGCCATCACTGCCCTTGCTGTCCTCAGCACTGGGCAACTTGTTCTCAATTGTGTTCCTAGTATCCCACAAAGGGAAGGACAGGGCCGTGAAAGGGACCCCATGCCAGACAATTAACTCAGTTGGCAACTGGATGTCTGGTAACAGCTGAGCCAGTCCCCCTGCGAGCCTAGTTTGGGAGGGGTAGCATGCCCCAGACCTTGGGAGGGCTGACAATGAGGAAACCAGAGGGGGGAGGCTGAGATCTGGAAAAGACAGTTGTGTGATTGGCTCTGCTCTTCCCTGTTAGGTGCTGATGAGACCACCCTTCTAGCCTAAACTCCCTCCTCCCAGGAGCCTGAGGGCAGTGGTTGTGCAAGGCCAATGCTTCTCTTTGCAAGGAACAGAGCTCTGTGTCCTGCCTTAGCACAGGGCCTGGCCCACTGGAAGGTTTTATATATAAACATATATTAAGGCACAAGCAATCCAATGAATGAATGAATGAATGAAAAACTGATGCAACAAAAAGTCCCAGGAGAATCCCCAAGGAAGCCCAGACCTAATCCTGATCCCAGACTCCTCCCCACCAGCCTAAAAGGGGCTGAGAGAGATGTACCCCTCCTCAATGCCGGGACTCACAGCAGCTCTGAAGCACAAAGAGGCCAGATCCTTCACAGTTAAGAAACTCTCCAGTTGCTGTAAGACAGTAACATTGTAGATGTTATTCTATCCATTTTACAGGTGGAAAAAGAAAACTAGACTTACAAGGATAGGCACTGGTTCCACTGTCTTGCCACCCAGTCACTACCATTTCATCTAAACTTGCTTCCAGGAGGCATAAACCTTGCTTTTCTATAAATGACATCACCTTACTTGTCCAGCACCCCCCTCCCCCAGCATCCAGACTCTATATGGATCTCAGGGTCATGTCTTATCTTATTTGTCCTGTGGATAGATGTGAAGCTTCCTATAGGCACATAGGGATTACCTTCCCCAACCATTAGCTCAGAACCCCCTCGGGGAAAGACTGTGTGTCTGGCTAGGGGGTCATTCAAGGTTGGGTGAGACCAAGGCTCCATCTCACCAACCTGCCTCGATGTCCTTGTACAGCTGGTCAATGAAGGCGTCCAGCTGCTCTCGGTCCTGAGGCTTCAACTCCAGAGCGTCACAGGCATGGACCCACTGGCTCAGGGAGCTGGGGGTCCCAGGCATCCATGGTTGGAGAGAAGGAGGCCCAGCTCCCAGGGCTCTCCACCTCCAGACAGGTTAAGCCCATTTCTTTCTCCAGGGCAGGGGCCCATCTTCCCCAAAAGACCAAGGCTCCCAGGAGCAAACTACCACCTCAGTCTTTCTGACTCCCACCACTGCATCCAGTCCAGCTCTCCTGCCACAGAATCAAACCCTAATCTTGAAAGGAAGTGTGGCTACCTTCCTCTGTCAATCTCCCGCCCAAGCCCTGACAGACAAGTGCAATAGCTTTGGAACATTCTCTCCTAACCTGGTCCCAATTCCTTGGCCATTGGTCCCAACAAGAGCAAAGAGAGACCGGAATCCATCTGGTGTGAACCACTGTGGGGAGAAAGAAAAATGAGCGCTCAGATTACAGCCACTCGCTTTTTCTCCTGAAACAACTCTCTGTTCAGGAAGTCTTCTGTGAGTCAATCCCATCCCAACTTCACACCAAGTCAGTCTTGGCTTAACTCTCTGAGTAGGAGATGCTGACCCGGTTGCTCCTGGAGAGCTGGAATGACCAGGAGGTCACTGGTCCCACCTTCCCCATGCTCACCTGGCTGAGCGCCTCCTCATAAAGGGCCTCTGTGAAGAGTCTCCGTAGAAGTTCCAGCTGGCCCTGGTTTAGGGGAAGCAGGGAGAGACCTGTATCCTGGGGATTTCCCACTAGCACCCAGGCAGGGCCCAGAAGACCAGGTAAGGAAAAGAAAAGGGGCCAGCTCTGTAGAATGAACTTTCCCTGAAGGCAAAGGAAGGCCACAGAGTTCTTACTTCCAAAGAACCTTGGCAGTCTGTTGGCCTGTTCCAAGCCAGAGTGGGGAACCCCAAATTCCTATTTTCCAGGAGGGCTGAGGCAACCTGGCTTCAGATGACTGTCCTCGCGACCACCTTCCAGGCTCCCTGACCTGGCCTCCAGACAAGCTTGACGACCCCCTCCTCTCCTCAGAATAAATGCAGGAAGGCCCACCCCAGCTGCCCTTGAAACCCTGCCTGCACCTTCAGGCAGCTCCTGCGTGGAAGTCTGCTGTCCTCAGTGAGAATGTGTAATCTTTGGGTGGGAGTGGGCAGTCAGCACATTGGCAGCTAAAATGCTATTTCACGCCTGCTCCCTGACCCTCCACTTTCCATTATACTGACTTACCCGCCACTATCCTATCATGAGATTCTGCCTTACCATGTCAGGGCACCCGACCCCTCCTTCCTGTTCACCCCACTTCTCAACTTTCGGTCCCTGTTAGGTCACAAAGTTAAATAGTGGCAAGAGGATAGGTTCTCTGAATAGATTTTTGGCTCCAGGCTCTGTGGCTGCCAAAGGACCAAATGTGGAGCTCCCCTCAGGTAGCCACAGAACATCCAAGGCTATTGGGATGAGGGGATCATGGGGGAAGACTGACCTTGAATTTGTCCCCCAGGAGTTTGTGGACAATCTCCTCCTCCTCATTGGCTGTTTTATTACAGAACTGGGAAAAGAGCCTGATCCAACGATCTTTATCCTTAGCCTGCAGGGAACAAATATACTTCAGGATCACATTCGCATATGCCTGGGCGTGCACGCGTGTGCACGCACGGACTCAGGGACACCCATCTCCTTGCTGTCCCTCATACCCAGGCGGGAGAGTAGCCTGTGATTCTAAAGCCTCTGCCATCAGCGAAACACCATCACACATGAGATTCTAGGTAGACCCTTCCTTGGCCTGGGGACTTCCTTCCCATCCTGCCCACACCCAACCATCTCCCCAACTGGGCCAGGCTGGCCAGTTCAACAACACTTGGAAAAAGAGGAGAATGGGGTTGTGGAGCTCCAATACTAACAGAATGGGTTGGAGTGGCTTCTCTCACTTTACATAAGAGGCAATCCTGAGAAAGTGGCACCTGTAAATTGAATGTGTGAACTGTTGCTGCACAGGAGGTCCTCTCCTAGATCAGAGGCTGCAGGAAAGATGAGTCTCCTGCCAGATTTATGGTTAGCTGCTCCTGAGTTTACACAGCAAGCAGCTCTCCTTTGGAAAGCGCAGAGGGAACTCTGCATCCAAGCCAGGGACTTGACGTGAGGAGGAGACTGAGGCCAAAGGGCACATGAGGCCAGAAGGGGCTTCCGTGGGAGGTCTGGGTGGGCTTACCTGCTTCACTGTGGCCACCATCCGTGCCATCAACATGATGCTTGCAGTCTCGGGGGGGTAGTGAACACTCCTGGGGAGAAAGAAAAAGATTTGGTCTGGAAATCCCCTCCCCAGTAGCTGTGTTCAGGGAAGCCCAGTCTGATCACTACAGAGAATCCTTTCTATCAACTCTATTTATAACCAAAGAGAGATGTCATTGGCAAGGATGAGGGCAGGCCTTTACCGCCCCATGGGCTTAATGGGGCTCTTCCTGGGAGTGTGTAAAATGCTGAGGGTAGTGGGACTGGCGGCTCACACTGAAGGCAGGGGGTTGGGTGATGTGACTTCTGTTTAACCCTAAGACTGGAGGAAAGATCTGGGGATGGCAGTTTAAAAAAGATGACTGCATCTGCTGATCTCAGGCGGGCAGGCAGGTCGAGAGGGAGGATAAAGGGAAGAAGAGATGAAATGCTACCCACCTCCAGGCCTCCTGTAGCTTATTGAGAGGATGCAGGGGGTCGTCCTGGGAGGGCCCTGGGCACAGGACCTGATGGTACTGCTCGGCGGCCGCCAGCCGACACTCCGCACTGCAGTACATCACCTGGTGGAGTGGGTGGAGGTCAACACCCTAGGATCTGGCCATGGGGTGAGGCACAGACCTTCCTTAGTGGTACTCACCTCCTCTGACTGCACTCCTTCTACGAACAGCCCCTGAGCAGTAGCTCAGTGACATCGTAAGATGAGAAAGCACACACCGCCCGGGGGCATGTGAGAGGGGCACCCAGGCTTGTCGAACTATGGGAAGGAGAGAGCTTTCAAGTAGAGGGAAGAGCCCCTGCCAGGCTCCTGGGAAGAGGGCAAGTTCCCACTGAACCAATTTTCTAGATAGCGGGACCGGGACAGGGAGAACACAACTGGAATAGTTACAGCCTTTTGAATGTCTTACCCTACATTATGGCTCTCAGGGGCCACGAGCAGGTCTGTTGTCATTCCTGTCTCCCCAAAGAGGACTTCGGCTAAGCCTTCTCCCACCAGCTCCCTTTCAGGTGCACTCCCCAGGGATGCTCACCTGGCAGTGGGGACAGTGCTGGTGGAGGTCCTTGCGCACGGCACACAGCTCAGGGTGAGGCAGAACCTGGCCCGGTTTCCCAGTCAGCCTCTGGGCATTCTCCTCTGCCTTCTCCAGTGCCCGAAGGCAGTGGTCACAGGCTGAGGGAGAGAGCCCCATGTGACAATGTAAGTGTCTTTAGAGCAGGGGCCACATTTTGTCTTTTTCACAGAAGCATCCCTAGGGCTAAAGATAGTGCCTGACACTTGGTAGGTGCTCAACAAATGTTTGGGAAGTAAGTGAATGAACAACTGTGTTAAAGAACAGAATGGGTGCATGATTTCACATGCATTCAAAAGCAGATTGGGATTTAGTCTATAGGGCTCCCCTCCTAACCCCCAGACTGAGCTTTCCCCACATTCTGGAGCCAACTGACCCTCCTTTCATGTTTGTCTCTAGCCTAAGAAAAGTGTGAAAAAACCACGTGTCTGGAAAAGCTAAGGGCATCCTACTTGCTTCTGACCCCTAACTCAGCCTGTTTTGACCAAGGGGCGAGTGGCCTCCTCTTGGTGGAGAGCTGCCCTTTGGCACAGAGCCCTTCCACATGATATCCAATCCCTGATACTGCAGGTCACACTGAGTTCTGCCTGCCTGACAGTCCTCCCCCAGGAAGCAGGCTGGAAGAGCCCATCCCTCGCTCACTCCCAGCCCCAAATGGCCTAAGACTAGAGACAAGCATGATTCTCAGGCACGGTTCTCCAAGATGAGCTTTTCTCCCAACACCTGAATTCCCAGAGACATCAGCTAGTGGGAATGTATGTAGCTCTCTTCCATGCATACAGGCAGCTGGCCCAGCAGCCATGAGGAGTGGACGAGATGTGCTCACCTCGGTAGCGATAAAGTGCATTCCAGAGAAACTGTGCAGCCACCAGGGGCTGTTCTACAAAGATGGTCTCCCCTTTCCGGATCAGCTGTGTGGCAAATAGGCCCTTTCCCTAAAAGGGAGAGAAGGAATAGGATGGCCATAAGGAAAGAAAGCTCCCAGAGGGCTTCCCAGCATCACCCCCCGCCACGCCTCCCTCTCAGGAGAGGCCTCTGCCTTGGGAGGGTTCATGGAACATGGT